ACTTTATTCATTTATTCTTGAAATTTCTTTTTGTGCATAACTTCTTGAATTTGAGCCTAAGTGTAAGATACGAGCAGTGATAGTCCATAAAGAGACGTAGCTAAAGCTGTTTGTATTTTTATTTGGGAAGGGTACTTTACAAAGGAAATCAAATCTTAACATGCAATTTTAGAATTTAATTGCAACTTTTTTTTGTGACATATTGTGTGTTAATACAAGATAAGATGTTGACAGTAATACCTTTGCCCGTCTGAACACATTCATGAGTGAAACTTACTGAACAGAGACTTGCCTGGTAAATATTTAGTTCCAGATGCTTCACAAAGTTAGAATTGTAATGAGAACCTCCCAGTGGTCTGGCAAACTCCAAACAAATGCTAAGACTTCTTTTTTTTTTTTTTCTTTTCTTTTTCTTTCCTCCAGTTGTCGTCACAGAAAGCATAAGGCAACTATGACTGAGGAACAGTCCTCAGGTTCCAGACCAAGTTGCAGTTTCTGCCCCTTTTAGAGGTGCTATACCTTCACAGTTCTCAATGTCAGCTGCTTTTCCAGGCAATCCTGACTGCTGTCATTGAGAGGCATTTGAGAGAACTCATTCTTGGAATTCAGGTCTTTGGTGATGAGCTTACTTTTTTTTGTTGACCAGAGGCACTCTTTGGATCAATCTTGCTGTTAAATCTCATGTCCTGGCTGTTACCTCACCCTGCCCAGCTGGTCCCCGAGATTCCTCCAAAAGTAGACTTACAAGATGACTCTCTCTTCCAGGACTGGATTCAGTGTTGCAACTCTTTAATAGCATCTGCAATTATGAGCGCTCTGTGGAAAGACAAATGGACAGTTCAGTGTCTTTTCTATGCTGTTCTCTTTTTTATCAGATTCTTGAGATTTGAATTAAAGAACTGGGATGTGAAATAAACGTTATGAGCTTCTGACTAGAACTAAAAAGCAGACTTTATGAGGAAAATTTAGCACAGTTTGTAAAAATACAGCAAGTGAAATAGTATATTTGTACTCTCAGGCTTTGTGACTAATTTTATACTCATTATATCTTTGTGAAGAATGTATCCAAATCCAAATGGTCTGAATTCTTCTTTGGAAGAAGCTTAACCCTTTCTGCTTGCAGTTTAATAAGGGTTAGATATCTAAAAGTTGCAGCGTGAATATCCCCTTATGGTTTTTCATTCTCCTTGTTAGCTAGCACGTTAAGGGTTCTGTATAACAGAATTACTATGTTTAGGTATATTCTGATTTTATTTGTTAAAGCTTTGTATTAAAATCAGTTTGTATAATAAAGTTAACAAGAATAGAATTTGAAGTGCTCTACCCTGCATTTTCCTTATTTGGGCAAATTTCTTGGAATAGAAGTTTTTACTTACATGGTTGGTTTCAGAAGATTTTGCCTACTGGTGGTGTTAGTGACCATAAGAAGATACAATTGAAAAAACAGAACCTCAATATTAAGAGCTATTTCTTTGTCCTTAAGAAATTAACTATAAGCTTGTTAAAATTGAAAGATTAACCCTGCTTTTTCAACAATTTTTTAATGCATTTTTTCCAGTTGCAACCAAAAAGTATGATCTTCACTGATATATTAATATTACTAACATGTATCAAGTCACTTTCTCTTACATTCTTTAGTGTTCTGTTTGTTATGTTTTGTCCATTGTAGCTGTTTGTTCTTTGAATGTATACTGCAAGCCCTATTCCTTGAACTAACATGAGGTACAACTTTAATCAGTGCTGTGATTCAAATATCTTCTCCAAGTCATTATTCAGATCCCTCAAAAATTATGTGTAATGGTGTATAAGGAAGCTGACCTCGGGTACAGAGGATGATACATATCTTGATCTATTTGTATATTGTACAATATTTAAAATGATCCATTACTGAAAATATGGGAAAATACTTATTTACTGAAAAAGGGAGTCAAATCACTGAACAAATCTTAACCCTCTCTTAACACATCTAGCCATCACAGGGACCTTAAATTGTGTATGAAATAGCCAAATCCATGTATTGCAGGGTGGTCAGGAAGGAAGGAGGAGTGGTTGGTTTGTTTTGTTTTGTGGTTTCTTTTGTTTGTTGGTTTTTTGGTTTTTATCAGTGTTTGGTGAAGCTGTTCTCTGTTCATCTTTGCTTGATGTAATGGAGCTCTGACTGTGTGTTCACCCCAGCAGATCCCCTAGTTCCCAGATTAGTGCAAGAGGTCTGTTCCAAAATAAGAGATCCTTGAAAAGACTGGTTTTTTTAAACTAAACTGGCAGTCCTAAAATACAGCAAGTCAAAAGAAATAATGAAATATAAATCGTGCATCTAGAAAAACTTCACCTATGATGCTCTTTTTAGTTCTTTGTAACCAACCTTTTTCTTAAAATCCTGAGAAGTCAGTAATAGATACTGCAAACAAACACTACCCATGGTTTAGAGATTAAGTTCTAAAGCTCTGTGTGGCTTCTGATACATGGAGATAGTTTACTCAGTGAGGACAGGAGCTTGGGGTAAGATAATAATGAATCAGTGTTTTTGCCTTTTTATCATTTAGTTCCTAATGTCGAACTGTGTTAACAAAAACATGGCAGATTGTGGTTTGTGGTTGTGAGTAAACAGTGTCTGTATTCAAACTAACACTCAATTCAGCAGACAATCTTTGCTCAGAAACTGTCCATTTAATTCTACAAAAGTTTGAAATTACAAATGAAAGAGATTTAATGCTAAAGCATTGACATCTATATGACCATTTTTGAGTAATTAGCTTTATTTCATAGGCAGAAGCCCATTGTGCAGGCTCTTTTTATTTTTTTTGTAATGTTGGTTGCTCCATATAAATCATGATTCTAACTTTCTGGAGCAAACCCCTGCTTGGCTCTTTTTTTCTTTTTTTTTTTTTTTGAACAGATGTGTCTGTTTCCAGACAGTCTCTTTCCTTAGTGTGTCTTCTGGTTAAAAAGTATCATTTATTGTTATGCTTTATGGTACATTTTTATGAAGTAACTTGCATTTTTATTGACATAAATAAAGGCTTCTACTCAAATGGCAGTTTTAACTTCTGAATTTCTCTTAATTGCAGCCATTCTTCAAATCTGCCAGTGTAAATTGACTGATTGCTGTTGTAAACAGATTTGCTGTTAAGAGTACTTAGAGGTTGTAGCAACCTGACAAAATTTTGCACTAGCACGTGCAAAAAAGAAAAAGTCAAAAAATTCTTTTTTAAGTGACTCCAAGTGACGTGTCCACAGCCTTCTCTGTTACAATGTTTGTAATATTTAATGATCTTTGTAGTTTAGTTAGCATCTCGTTTCAAGATTCAGTATATCCAGTTTGAAATCTGAAGTGCAATGTTTGTGTTCCTCCTTCAGCATTTTAAATCTGGAAGTGACACTTCTGGAAGTGAGTCTTGGAGCTAAATACTGCATTTACTATGGTGAGGCTGCTATGAAGACAACTAGGTCAAGATTACTTCCCTGTGATGTTAATTTAATCTCTTAAATTTGCCGTTATTGTATTAATCCATTTTTGTTGTATTGTGGTACTGAACTTCTGCTGCAGTGACTACCTACGGAAAAAACCCAGACCAAAGTCCTTCTGAGCTGATCCTGTTTAAGCCAGTCTGTCATTATGCAGATGTTAAACTTGACTTCTTGATTTCTGAAGGCATAAAGGAAAGTGTGTGAAACTTGTGAGTAGGATCTTAACTGTATGACCAGGCCATTCATCTCTCCCTGTAATAGTAGGTTCTCCCCTTACTTTTGAATATGTCAGATCCTTGTCATTTGAAAATCACCTCCCAGAAAAATCACCATCTAAACTTTTCAAAATACTCTCAGTCAAGAAGCATTTAGTATGCAGTTACTCTGTCATTAGCATGACTCACCTGATATTTCATCTATGAGGTGACTGCATGGATCGTAACTCCACAAAAATACCACAAATATATGGGACCCCCACTGAAGTTGTTATTCTACCTGTTTGCAGTACAGAATCCTGTTGCTATGCTAATTTATCTCTGAGGGTTCTGTGTGTGCTGTGGGAGCACCTGCCCCTGTTAAGAGTATCTCACATGGAGCAATGCTCATAAGCACTAAACATATTTCTATTTCTTTATTAAAGTCACTCTTGTCTGTGGGATCAACATCTAGCTGACTGTTGCTTCTGTCATCTGCTTAGTTTAGTACTTCTAGTTCTTTGGAATTTGTTTAGTTTTCCATCAATAAAAGCACAAAAATGAATACTTACAGCCCACAGTATGCATGGGTTTTGGTTTAAGAAAGCTTAGTTGTAAGTTAGTAGTCTAACCAGCACTTTGATTTCTTTTTTTTAATTATTTTTTTCCCCCACAGAATCAATGGCATGAACTCTTCCTTGCAATCAGTAAATCATCTGGTTTTGCTTATGACTTTGGTGGTTCTATGACCAATTTAAGGCTTGTGAGGTGGTGTCTGAACACCTGTCTGCATGACTTGTCTACTCACAAATCCAGCAATATTTGCGTGCAAAAGGGAAGTCTGGTGATTTAGCTGTGCTGTGTTCTGTGTAGTGCAGTCCATCACTTTGATTTCTTTAATCTTGCTTTAGCAAAAATGTTTTATGGGAAGTATATACTCTTTAATATTTTAAATACATATCTGGATCATTTCTCCTTCTGATTAATTAAAAGGAAGGATTTCCCTGATAATTTTTTAAAAATTAGATTTATTTATTGAAAAAAAAATATTTAAATTTGCGGAGGGAAAGAATGTAGGAGAACTTGCCTGTATAACAACTATGTTGCTGTATGATACCTTCTAATATCAGACAGACTTTGAGGAAAATAGGTAATGAAACAGGGTTCTAGTGTACATAATGTACAGTAAAGATTCAAAGTAGTTATACTTATTTTAACAAAGACTAGTTGATATGCCCTCTGCACACTTCATATCTTCAGTAGGCTCTTAATATCAAAATATCTGGGATGAGAGCTTTCTTTAACTAGGGGATTTCAGACATTTAGTTTGGGATTCAGCTATCTACATGAGGTGGTATGGTGCCACCATCATTGAAATGTACTTGCTGTATACAAGACAGCTGTTGTACTACAGTAGCAGTTGGAAGCCAAGCAGAGTAATCTGCAGCCCTTAAATACTGGTGGTTGGCGTCATTTCAGGTACCGGAGTGACTCCTTAAGGTGAGTTTCAATTTGAAATTGATACTGAAACTTTCATGCTTACATTTAGGTGTCTGCAGGTGAGATGGGCATCTAAACTCATGTTATAGCCAGGGCGTATATGGTCAGTAGAGCCTGTAGATCCTGTGTTGCATCTGCCTGTCTTGTGCAGATGTCTTGTTTCCTAAGGCCCTTCCAATGGGGCCTGTGTGTGAGTACCTTGAATCAAGCGCAAGCTGCTGTCAGCATTCCTGAGATCTTGACTAGAATGAAAGGTTTGACATAGTCTGCAGTGTTGCATGTACACATGTAGCTACTTCTAAGTGTCTTAACCTGAAACTTAGTCATTCCCTTGCATGCCATTTTTTCTTCTAGCACACCAGTACAAAAATTAGTTTCCACACTGAAGATCTTCCTTTTTTTTAATGAATTAGGGCTCAGTTAACAAGCAGCCCAACAACTTTCTTCGCATTTGCATGTGGTTCTGTGCAACTCATAAAAACCTTTTTTATTTTCCTTCACTCAGTGTGTTGTCCTTAAAAATGCCCAAAGAAAATCCAGCGGAATATGTATATAATTTTTCTGTTGGTTTAACCAGAACAAACAACATCTACCACCTAACATTAGTCAAGAGTCATGCTCTGAAAGTTTCTTACCCAAATTGAATGCTCTGACAATCCTAAACTATTAATCAAGGGATATTTGTTAAGCTATGTTTACATTCTAATCCTGCTTTCTGTATCAGATTTATACTGATGAAATAAGCCAGATTTCAGTGGGGTTTGTCTGTACATCTACTCAGAGTGCTATTCAGCAGTAGTAGATTCCAAATCTATTCAAGACCCACCTAATGATCTAGAATTCCTGTTTGGTTATGAAGCGTTCAAAGATACTCAAATTTTTAGTCGTCATGAACGTTTTTACGACCATTAAACTAGTACCATTAGATTCGTGCTTGGTTTGGTGTTATGACCAGTTATCTTCTCTTGGAATGTACATAAGGAATGATACCGGTTTTGTTGCTCTGTAATACTGGCTCTGAGAGAGGAAAAAAAAACAACGATATTTGCTGTTTGTAGTTGGTACTCCACTGGCATGTCTGAGAAGGAGATTTGGCAGTTGGTAAACACTATTGGTGTCTTCCCCAGTCTGCCATTTTAGGATCTGAGAATTAATTTCAGTCTTCGGACCTACTTTTAACCCTCCCTTGCTAATTAATGAGTAGAAATGAAAGTAAGTTCTATAAAATTGCCCAACAGATAAATCGGCTTTCAATTGACTACAGAAGAGTATGGGGAGATAAACCTCCAGTGTTAAAACGTAGCTTGCATGAATTCCCCTCTTCTCGTCCTACCTATGGTGTAAGGCTACTTGGAAGCTCTGTTTACATCAAGACAAATGTGACAAGGTAATTCTAGCAGCAGAACAGAAACAGATCTTGAAGAAACAAGGAAGGTTGGATGAAATGTTAGGCTTGTACATTCAGCAATAAAAGTTCAGATCAGATCTTTTAGTGGCTATTTTTAGTGGCTTGCTTTTGTTTGTTTTTCTTTTCAAAAGTAGTGAGAATTTTCTTTTCTGCCTTACTGAAATTCACAAGCGTAGGAGGCAAAATTTGCAGTAAAGCGTAGCTTCAGTATCTAAACTCTACTTAATATTTTCTGCTATAAAACTCAAAAATGTGGCATGGTAACATCATCTATGTACCTTGTCTGTTATGATACTGAGAGAAATTGGTGTCCCGTTTCCCATGCAACGACATGGACCTGTAATGGTACGCTTGCATCATCTTGAACCTCAGGCTTGTAGAGAGAGATCTCCTTAGTCACACTGGGGTTTTTTCTGTTTTTCAGTTCTGTTATATTTATTTTCTCTTTAATTGGCTCATGGAGCTGCTTCTTATTCACTGTGGCAGGCTTCTGCACAGCTTTTACTTCATAGAAGCTTCTCTCATGCCCTTTGCTGGTACGGGGGGTGGTGTCCATTTCCTGAGAAGTGAGTTGGAGGGGAAAGGATTTTCTTTGTTGCTATTGATGACTGTGTATGTCTTCAAAGATAGAACCAAAAGTGGATTTTAAATAGTAGTTCCTCATTCCTCCATTTTTAGTTTTTTGTTTCAATTTGATTAGGCCTCAGAAATAAAGGACTCTCTATCTGAGCTGCTCTACATCTAGTGTGTCAGTAGCAAATCTGAGAACATATATGTGGACAAAGTAAGTTTTTAGTTTCAGATATCCAGCCTTGACTTTAAAGGAATTCGGTTTCAGGGAAGGGATGAGAGAAACTACAAGATACATTTGGAGTTAGGTGCTGCAACAAATACGCTTCGGTACGTTTGACCCTGACGACCAAGTCCCTGCTGCAGAGTAGAAATCAGAACCCTGCATTAGGCTCTTAAATTGTTTTTATAGGGATCAGGGTGAATTGGCTGATTCTAAACAGCACCTAAAATACTGAGCAGACGTACTGACTGAGGAGTGGCCAGAAGGTAGTAGTAGCAAAGACAGAATATAGGTGAAAACTAAAGCTTCCCCCCTTTCTTCTTGTAGGCATTTTGCTCAAGACTGTAAAAGCACATCACTTTGGTCCCCTATCTATAAACTAATTCTTGAAAGCAGGTATTTACTGATTTTCAAATAATAGAACTAAGCAGAAGTTTCTGGTTTAAGATGCAGCTGGAGGAGGAGAGGATGTTGACAGCCTGGAATTTAGATCGGTCCCCCAAAAGACAGGAGACTGGTCGACTTCTTTTCATGAGACCTCAATCAGTAAGAAATCTTAAGCAAAGCAGGATCAACGTATGGCTGCCTTCCCCTCCATCCTTAATTGATGTAAAAACTGTAATGTAATAATGACTTTTTTTATGTGAATTAACTTATTTCCCCTCACTAACTGGTATATATTTATTGCTTATATAGTGAAAATCTTGTACTTTGAATAGAAAGAAATAAATTCTACTCATTGGGGAAAAAAAAGTTACAATTTAAACCACAATATTTGTATCTTTCCATTTACTTTGTTCCATTAAATGGAAAGGGGCGAGCCAAAGGAATGTAATGCTTTTATTTGGAAGACCATGCCAATAATACTTGTTTTGAAAATATATTAATTAATGTCTAGTTTTTTAATTTTTCAGGATCAACAGATTGCATATGCTATTCAACTGTTGGCATTTCTGACCCGGTAACATCAGCTCTTCATATTATTGTAGGTGGGTGGTCATAGTTTGCTGTTTTCTTATGAAAATAGCCAAAAATAATAATTTCATTTGGTTCTTTCTATATGTGAGATATAATTTGAAGATAATGGCTGAGTTGAAATGCGAAGTTTTTGTCTGGGATTTAAGTCTCTGATTTGAAATATGGGAAGTTTAAAACTTATTTGCTTTCTCTATTGTAATTAATTGTTTTGAAGGGATCATAATGTTTTGAAACTATATCTAGTGCTTAAGTTTTCATGCATTCTGGCATGCTTTTGAAAATAGCAGTAAAATACAATAAGCAGTGTAAGTTGTTGGACTCTGTCTGAGAAAGCTACTAGAAGCGCATGTACACTTGAATAGTAGTATTTTGTACTAGTTGCCCAATTGTCTTGTGCAATTCGATGCATGCCAAACTGGAAGTATGAGTTTTAGCCAATTTCATGGCTATCGGCCAATAAAATTAGCTGATAATTCCCCATTTTTACCACCTGCAAGTCAGATATTTGAGGAGGAATGAGGGAGGAAAACAACTACTCTTCAATAAATGCTTTTTGATATGTTGTCATCAGCAGGGATGTTGACATTACCACTTCTCAAAGTCCTCTGGTAATGGAGTCCCTGAACTGCATGGGGGACAAAGGAGACAGCTTGGCATATTCAGTGCATTGTGGTTTGTGATGTCCATGCTATCTTCTACATACTGAAGAATCATAGTCACCCAGTTCTTAATACTAAACTTGAAAAATTGTGCAAGGTGGTCTTCAGTTCTAACAATGTTGCACAAGCAAAAGGGATAAAATTTCCGAGTGCAATTATTTCATTATCACTTGTTATTGAGTGCTTAAGAGTTGCAGTTTTAGGAGCTGCTGTTGCAAAGGTTTACACATGTACTTCTCTCTTACTAATCTATGGCTAACTCTGTTCAGCATGTGTAGAGCTTAGGGCATTGAACTGGGATTAGAGAGAGAGATGGACTTAGTATATCATAGTATTTTAGCTGGATTATTAAATGTGCACTTGTGTATGCATGCATTTAGATTTTTAAGAGTGTTTCTCACTTATGTAAAGGGTTCTTCGCAGTAGTCTGCGGTGGAAGGATGAGAGACAACGGACATGAAGTGAAACGGGGGGGGGAACAAACCAAACACCAAAAAGCCAAACAAGCAAAGAAACAGCACCTTCCCCTGCGCCCCTCCAGCCCACCACCACTCCAGAGTTTACACAATGAGGACATCAGAGGGATAGTGTACTCTCTGTTCTTAGAGGTTTTCAGGACTTGGCTGGATAAGCCTTGGGTAATCTGATCTGACCTCATAGCTGAACCTACTTTGGGTGGGAGGTGTGATGAGAAACCTCCTAAGGCCTGTTCCAGCTAGATTTATCCTCTGATAGTATGACATATGGGATTAAGTAGTATCTGATAAATGTACAGATACTGCATTGATCTCCTCCTACTGCTACATGGTAAATGAGTGTAAATTCATTATATATTTTTAGCATGCTGACCCCTTTCTTCTCACTTCGTGCTTAGTGCTTTTTAAATACTAAATGAAATTAGTATTAAAAAATTATTCTTCCCTTTCTGCATGTATAAGAAATATATGTGGATATATGACATAAATATGTTATGACATAAATACAACGTATATATTTATTATTTTGAAATTGTACTGTTAAAGATACTATTGTGTTTGCAGCTGCAAACAAAATAAGCCTTAATAGAACGTCGCACTTCTAATCTTCATAGGTGACTGTCAACCTCTGGATGTCTCTTCTGTACATCATAACAACACGTTTTTGAAGTATTCCGTATCATTACTGGGTTACGGTTTTTATGGAGATATATTAAAAGATAGTGAAAAGAAGCGGTGGATGGGTCCGATGAGATATGACTACTCAGGTAACTTGTGTAATTATTACATTCTTTGTCAGCATGTAAACATAGTGGAGCAGTTGATGTACTCTCTCCAAACCAACCTTCTCTGAAGCTTTTAAACATCAGGAACAGACTGAACCTGATTTTAAACTCCTTGCAGTACCAAGTATGTTGGATCATGTTATGTAAAGCTCTGTAACTTTGGGGATAACATTAGCAGTGTGCTCATTAAAGTTGTGTTGAATATATGTCACCTAGTGATAGCTGCCTAAAAAGTAATGCCCTTTCTGTGCTAATCATTTTGACTTTCTTTTCAATCAGTTAGAGAGAGGTAGGCACTCCTTTGTCTTGGATATTCAGCTGATGGAATGAATTGTTAATTTTGTCCTTCTTCCAGCATTGATTAGAGAGACAGATGAGTGGTTTAGCCTAGTTAGCTAGTATATCGATAAATCCTATGCTGCTGGAAAGTATTTTTTGCCTTTGATTTGCCTCGTGTTAGGGAATGCAAAAGCAGAATTTAAGTAGCATAGGCCAATTTGCAGATTCAGCAGGGATGTGTAGCTAAAAATTTTAGATGGCTTTTAAAGATGTCAAGCAAAGTAATGACGCTATCGGCAAATCTTAAAAAGTTGGAGGGGGGTGATATTTCCTTGTCCTTTACAATCTGAAACATCATACCACAAAGAGCTGTGAGGTTGAGGAGGGCAACTATTGTTTTACAGTCCTTAGAGAAGGAAAGAGAGGAACAATCAAGGAATGTATGCAGAGGTGTTTGCGATGTGGATTTATAATGACTTAATGCTGTGTAATACCTCTTTTATGTAGGCTTCAAGACTTTTCTTTCTCATCATTACTATGAAGGAACAATTTCTTTTCAACCTGCAAAACACACAGTGGGATCTCCACGAGATAAAGATAGCTGCAGAACAGGGTAGGCTAATGTTTATCTGTGCTTTTTTGACATGAACTATTTGAAAAGGCCTATACATAAACAGAGGTCACAGAAATGTTGGCTTTAATATCACAACACTTACTCTGAAAGAGACAACCTTGTAAGAAAGTGTATTGACTCATTAAAGGTCAGTTGACCTTTTGGCACCTCAGGTCAGTAAACAAAAATGTAATAAAATTTTGTTAGCTGGTGTGTGTGTGTGTCCCAGTTTTAAATGAAGCGAAATGTAACAGCACAGCACCCAGTTAATAGGTGCTAAGGGTACTATACTGTGTTACTGCTAATAAACGAAAGTCTGGATGCCTCATAGCTTCTACAAATGGAAATAATTATTCAAAATTTCTCAAATGTTCACATTGTAATTCAATCTAGCAATTTTAGTGATTGTTTTAGTGCCATGACCACAGCTGGCATGGCTTGTCCTGAGGATAGGTCTTCTCAGGAATCAGCCTGTTTATCCTTTTTTTTTGTAGACTACTGTTATGCTGTATAAATTCTGTGTGATATTCTTCACTTCTTTCTCCAATCAGGGAGCCTACCTTATTCTCCCAGTGTTCCTTCCTTTCTCTTTACTTTCACCTGCTTGAAGTTATGCACTAGTATTTGTTGTTGTTCTTTATATATGAATATAGCTGTCAGAAATATAGTAGTTGTCACAGCAGCAAACAGCACAGCAGGATACAGAGGGGCCAGAAACTTTGTCCAGAAACTGCATGGAACTTGTTGACTGTGCTGTGACATTCTACGAATCACGATCTCCAGTACTAGCTGGAGCAACTATCCTGATCCATCAAGTGCCTTGGTGCAGGGGAAACTCCAGAGGGAGAAAGCTGTTATCCAGGTCTCAATCAGGGAGTAAAGAGTCCTGGTGCCTCATGGGGAATTTTATACATCCTAATAATTGCTGGAAGGGCAATACGACTAGGTACAAGGAATTTAAGAGAATCCTGGAGTGTGGTGATGTTGGTGATCGTGCGGGTGATTGACAAACTGACTAGGACAAATAGTCTGGACTTCTTACAGAAAAGGAAAGAGGGAGGTTGCGATGGTTGAGGGCAGTCTTGGCAGCGGTGACTGTGAGATTATGAAGTTTAAAATCCTGAGAGAAATGAGCAGGACAAAAAGTAGAATTGCAACCCTGAACTTTAGGAGAGCAGATTTTGGTTTATTTGGGAATCTTGGCAAGATTCCGTGGGAGACTACCGTGGAGGACAAAGAGACCCAGGAGAGTTGATTGGTACCTCCTCAAAGCACAAAAACAGTCCATTCTGATATGCAGAAACTTGAGTAAGCACGATAGAATACCCAACGTGGATGAGCAAGGATCTGAGAAGGAAAGAGAAGGTGGAAGTGGAATGGGTTACTTTGGAAGAACACAGAGATATTGCCTAAATATGCAGGGATGGAACTGAGAAAGCCAAAGCTGAGGTGGAATTGAAATCAGTGAGGGATGTGAGAGGTGTTAGTTCTTACAAAGGGATTATGTAAGTATAACAATCATAACAAAAGGCTAAAGGAACTGTGGGCCTGCTGCTTAGTGGTATGGGGATCCTAGCGATAAAAGGTACAGAAAAGGCTGAAAACTTACTCCTTTGCCCCAGTTTTCACTGATGTATAGTCTGCCCCCAGGCCTTACAGGTCCCCAGGCCCATGAATGAGGAGGAAACAGTGGGTGTTACATACTTTGACTTTAACAAAGCCTTTGGTAGTGTTTCCTGTAGTATTCTTAAAAACAAATTGATGAGGTGCAGACTAGATAAGTGGATGGGTGGAAAACTGGCTAGACTACTAGAAAGGTTGTGAGTACCAAGTTCAGCTGGCAGCCAATTACTAATGGTGTCCCTTGGGGATCAATACTGGGGCTAATACTGTGCTACATCTTTCTGAATGACTGGGACAGAGGCAGAGAGTGCACTCTCAGCATTTTTATGGATGATAGCAGATTGGGAGGAGTGATTTACATGTTGAAAGTCAGGCCTGCTATTCAGAGGGACCTTGATGGGCTGAAGAAATGGCTGATAAGAATCTACTGAAGTTAGGAGAGGCAAACGTCATCGTGTACCTGGCGTGAAATAGTCACATGCAACAGTACTGGCTGGCTGGAAGGCAGCTCTGCCAAAAGGAGCTTTGTGATCCTGGTGGGCAACAGCTGTACCTGTGTTAGCAGTGTGTCCTTGCAGCAAGGAAGGCCAACCTTATATTGAGCTTTCTAAGCAAAAGAGAAACCAACAGGTCAGGAGAAGTGATTCTTCCCTGTACTCGACACTTGTGAGATGAAGGACTGGCTCCAGTATGTCAGTATCTTTCACTGTTACAGCAGTCAAATATTGGAACAAGTTGCCCAGGGATCTTGTGGACTCTATCCTTGCAGATATTCAAAACTTGACTGAACAAGACACTGAACATCCTGATCCTATAAGAGCTGCTTTGAGCAGAGCTTTGATCCACATCAGAGGTCCCTTCCAACCTATGTGATCTTATGGCTCTGTGATGTTGTTATTTCTGACATCCAGTAATCTTTAGCACTGTAGTTAAGTACCTGTACTGCCTGCAGACCTGTCATGATTCATGCCACATCAGGGTTGTCAGTGCCATGCTGCATCTTGTGGTGGGGGAAGATCTGGTAATGATTGGGTAAAACAAATAAGTTGAACTGAATAATAGTTTTGTTTTCGGGAAATAAATGGTATTTTTGTTTTCAGATGTTACATTTGCAAGAAAAGTGAGCAACAGCTGTCAGAACAGCACAAGGAATGTGGATTAAAACGTGAAGGTAATTTGTCATAAAAAGTAAGATAGTATGTTATAAAAATTCTTATTTTTCAGAATATATCGGTTCAAGTGTATGTTTTGGTTTTTTAAAACGTTGTGAGTTACTAGATAATGCATTGTTTCTTTAAGCTTAAAGAAAATACATGTAAATATGTAAAAAATAGATCAGGTGTCTCTCCATCCAAACCTCAGAAAATTCTGATAAAATTATACTAATTACTTCTATATTTCAATGTGTTAGGTTTCTTTTCTTTAGGAAAGGTATATTCTCTGAGATAGGACTCTGTGTTCTTTTTGTGAGGAGGACTTAACTGTGAGGTAGTACAGAAGGAAGCAGTTCATTAACTTTTAGAATAGGTCAGGATTAAATATTTGTGTTTGTTAGTGCAAAAGTTACCCTATATAAAGCTGTTTATTAAATAAATGTGAGGTAATGAACTTGGACAACTAATAACTGATCTGGTGGACTGAAGTATTTCTGTACAATACTGACCCAATACTCAGTATAAATGATAAATAAGATTTCTCTCCTCTTTTTCTAGTTTTGCTATCCTTATTCTCTTTTTCCCCCTCATTCCAACCCCTGCACATACTTCCATGGAATTTATTTTTTTTTAATGGGCATAACTTTTCCTTCCTTTTGTTAAAACAACTGTTAATATGCTGGATTCTGTGCACTCATCCTCCTAGTTGTCTCTTTATGTCTGACTACTATGTCCTTATGGGAAACACTGATATTGTACGCTTGTGGCCCTGCTGGAGTAAGATATGCAGATTCAATTGACCAAGTTTCACCTCTAATCTCAGTTCATTGACTTGGATAAACCCCTCCTAAACAGCAGGCAGCCTTCCCATGGGTGCTTGCTTCTGCTTTTACTCTTTTTTCTTTTTTTTTCTTCTTGTAGAGCTCAGTACATAAAACCATCATTTTCTTGACACAAACACTGGTGCTTTATGACCTAGATTGTCTTATAATTACAGTTATTTTGCACAGTATCTGTACCACGTTCTAGACATTTCTTAGCATAAAGAGTATCATCATACTATAGAGATTCATTCGTAGCATAAAGACTGTATGTAGATTTCTATGTCAACTTGAATTCCTGTTACATATACTTATATATAGTGCTTTCATCCCAGCAACTGCTTTCAGATCTTTGATATAATCAACAGATGGCCAGACTGGAGTGTTGCTTGAGTTGTTTTAATTTATGCCCAGATACAGCTAAAGAAATTGCTTTACATAATATTTTCTTAGGAGCTAAATCTGATAGTAAATTTTTTTCTAAGAAAAAATTGGTCTTTTTGAGAAATAACTGTAGTTAGAAATTGCCAACCTTTTTTCTTTTGTTTGTGGTGTTTTTTTGTTCGGTTTTTTTTGTTGTTTTGTTTTTTAAATCTGCCATTTTGTTAGCTTTGATCCAGCAAAGGCAGAAGAAACCTGCAGGTTAGTGAGCGACCAAGGCTGCTTTAGCCAGCATTGCACAAGACGTTAAGCAGCTGATTATGTAGAATATTGTTTACTTAAATCCACTTTACTTCTGGTAGCTGGCTTTCTTTGCAGTCCAGTCTCTTCTCCATGCAGTACTGGTAAGCAAAGAATAACAATCAGCTACTCTTGATTTGCAATAAAAAGAATTTGAAATCGCCACCTCAGATAAGCTTTTTACTCAGCAGGGTGTATTGGCTTACTCTTTCATTGTGCCTACTCGGTTTGTGTACAATTCAGGTGAGTTTAGAAGGATGCTTGCATTGGCTGTCACTGAACATATTTCTTTGTATTGTGCAGAAGCCTATGTGTGTGTGCTGAGCAAACTTTGAGTGTTAGTCCTTTACGCTGATTTCATCACCTTGCAGTATACAGATACACACCATAGACAGTTGAAAAGAGTGCCGTTTATGCTCTCCCTGCTCATGATTGCCCTATTGTATGAAAGATATTTTGGATGAGTCATTTGTGCTATTACAGTGATGTACCTTGCAGAATGGTTATGAAAACAATTGGTCATTTAAAATGTGGTAAATACCCTGACTTTGTTCTTACTTGAACAGCGAAGCTTTTTTGAGTAACATGGTGAAATTTGTACTGAATGGTACTTTTCTGCCAGGTGAAAACAATCCATTACAGTAACATATATAAGCATTCTGCTTTAAGTAATTTGAGGCTTATTTATTACGGTGAGCATACTTCAAAAGTTAACAAATATGTAGACACACTATAGACTAAATTGTTAATGCTTCTCAGATAAACAACAAAAGGATTTATCAGTAAACAGTGGTGTTTTCATTTTTGTTGTTTATGTATCAGAAAATGCCTGGTTTTCTTGTAAATAAGCACTTGTATGGTTCTGTACACAGATGTTTCCAGTTCCAGTAGTTTCTTATGTTCTGTTCAGTTACCTTCCTCTCAGAGCAGGGCCTTGTCACTTGCCTGCAGCCTGAACAAAGTCATTCTGTACTTTGACATTTAAGTCTTTCTTATCTCTCAAGATACACATTTTGAATCTGATATAAGTTATTTCTTTCTGTAGTGTCCTGTTTGAAACTATCATAAGAAGATGAGCAGTAAAGCAAACTATACTAAAACCGCTCTGGCAAATGATGCAAAAATGTTGAATTTCACAGCTGTGTTTTTTCTTGCTCTTACTGATTAGTTTATCAGGAGATAAAGAGGATAGTCTAGATGGAAAAAGAATAAACTTTTTCATTTCCTTTAAGTCTTTTGTCACTTTATAATCCTACTCTGTATTTCCTGGAATTCTGTTTTTCTTGATTCTGTTACTAAAGAGTGGATAGTAAGAAATTCAAATGAATAAAAATTGAACGAAGCAGGAAAATTTCAAAAAGCAAAGAACGACTACAGAATATTTTCCAAACTTTTTTTCTTTTTTTAAATTTATTTTTCTGATGTATAAAGCTTGTAAGATATCAATTCAAAATAAATGCATCATAGACTTTAGGTCCAAAATTACCTAGACAATTGTAATAATGATTGTCTAAAGTAAATGTGAAGTTCCTAAAACTAAGACAGCAAAGAATGACAGAATTTTAGGACATGAAATATATAGCGTAAATGTCATCTATAGTCCCATCAAAGAAGCACCTTGAAAATAACTGTAAGTTAACCCAAATGTGGGGAACTGAATAATGTTAGATTTCTAAGTCCATACCAGTTAATATGCCTCAAAACTTCTACCTTGCTGTGATTTGATGATCAAACTTTAACAAGCTTATATAAACAAACTTTATCATTTTTTGTTTATTCCTTAATTTTGTCCCCATCATCAACAATGGCACTTCACTCCTGAACTTCAGTCTTAGAACCATGTGTATCTCCATAGACTGTTCTGCGATCATTACTTCTATGGAATTGTTCATTTGAAATATCTGAATCCACTTATATTGGGAGGAGAAAAGGAGTGTTATGGCTCCTTCATGGCTTTTTCTTATTGTAGTGGGGAAGGCATTTATATGTAATCTAAAAATGCAAAGGCATTTTTTTATCTATTTTTATTCATATGCAAGAAAATACAGTTTAGATGTCAACTCTCTGCAGTGCCTGACAGTGTTTTTTTGTTCCAGAAAATTCCTCTGCTCTTGGTAGTATTGATGCCATCACACATTTAAGCTCAGTCTAGGTGTGATCTCTAACAGAATGGTTTCATGTTGTTGAAAACAGACTTTTGTATTGTTTTGCAGAAATATCTGAAGATTTACACACAGGAAAGTTCAATTCTGTTAATAATATTCATCTTCAGACATTTGGGGTTGGGGTGGAAACAGATTCCTGATCTGCTGCCTGCTGGTCCTTGCTGAACCCTGAGTCATCTCTTCCCTTTTTGTCTTTTTTTTTTTTTTTTTAAATATAATTTGTAGCATTGAGGCAGAGGAGGAATATTGATTTAGAAACCAAATACTAAACCACTGTCTTTGCAGCATTGTTTATTTAAGATTACATATTGAAGAGCAAGAATAAAACTTTTAAAGTTAAAAATCCCCCTGAACTTTCACACTACAAGAGTTGTAACTTACCTCTCTCTTTTCCCTGCCTAAGGCTTTGTGGGTTTGCTCAAATAGCATTGATCCTGAATTTGACATGCATATGTCGGAAACAGTGAGCAGTTTTAGTAGATGGTCCCAGTCTGTGAAGCGAGAAAGCAAATTTCTCTGTTAGTGTAAGAAAAATAGATTTTTTTTATGCAGTTTATTTTAGATATTTATTGACAGTGCATGAATATGCCCAGTAAAAACTTTTAAGTTGCCAAGAATTATTGCTTTTTAGTGTTCTTATGAGTAGATCAAATAATAACCTATCTCCATGCCTTTATTGATGTGTTTCAGAGGATGAAGAAGAATGGAAGGTTATTAAAGGGAAATTTCTAGCCATCAATGCAGTAAATATGAGCTGTGCCTGTCCACGAAGTCCAAAAGGTCTCTCACCAGCAGCTCATTTGGCAGATGGTTCAGCTGACCTCATTCTAGTTCGTAAATGCTCCAGATTTGATTTTCTACGATATCTTGTCAGACATACAAACCAAGATGATCAGGTGTGTATTCCCTTTGACAATAAATTCTCCAGAGTCAGTCTAAGTTGTAAATATCATTATTCTTATATGACAAAAAGAACGTCTACAAAGCAGGTTTATTTTTTTTAAAAAAAAAATCATTTTAGCTAAGTCCAGTCCTAGGCCATAGCATTCTAACAAAATTCCACTTGCTAATTGAATTCTGTTTCATAATATTTTCCATATATTTACTTTTTGGACAATATTTTAAAGTGATTTTATCACAGCTGTGCCCCAGCAGTATAATGTAGCTGAGGTAGAAGATGTATTGAAGAATAATAAATCATTTTTTGTAAACTGTATAAAAATGAGGTTTAGAAGAAAGTTACCGGAACTGCAGTTTAATTGTAAAATCCTGCTAAAAGCCTGCAGTTTACGACATATGTGACCAGGATATGAGCTTTATGCATTCAGGCTCAAAATTATTCCTTGCATATGTTGTAGCTGTCAGGATAAACTACAAGGGAAGATTCGTCACTGGTTTGGATTGTAGTATCTGTTGAAACCAGAGCTATGGCTGTGAATACACACATTTAATATTTGTCACAGCCTGATATTATCAGCATGTTCCGGAAATTATCTGAACAATGGATTAATGTCATATCTAGTTATAAAAGCAATAATAAATCTCCCTTGTTTATGATGCTATTCTTCCTCCTCTGTAGCAGAAGTAGTATAGATTCTCTTTCCTGTATTTCCTCATTACCATTCCCCGAGACATTGTGTGTGCGTACTCCTCCTTCCTGCTATTCTCAGTCTCCCCTTCTTCCCTTCACTCCTTCCCACTCATTTTCACTGTTCCCTTGATATTTTTGATTATTTGAAGCCTTCCCTGGCTACTTTTCAAATTGGCTTCAACATTTATCAAGAGACTACATTATGCTTAGACTTGAAACAGGAAAGGATTCATGGGTGGCTTAGTGCAGCCATGGATAGCAGTTTTTGCAGCTAAGCTGTCTGAACTAGCACACTGCTTAGTGAGCCTTGTTGTATCCATGATCCGCTGCTTCCAGGTGTGGAGTTTGACAACTTCACAGTTTGTTTATGATTAAAAGCCAAGGGAACTTAAGACCTAGGAGATCCCTTCAATTCTGATGCTTTTTGTGATTGCCACTGTGACCTTTCCCCTTCCAGTGCTTCCCAACTGTTTCTCCCTGGGATATGTTGGTTTTGCAGTATAGATTAAATGCAGAGTTGTACATATGTCCTCACCTCAGGTTAGCGTCTACCATAATGGTGGAAATCCCTGTTTGAAAACTTAAGAAAATGTGAAAAGAAAAAGGAAGAAAAGACTGACTGTACATTAATACAGACTGGTTTATGAGTACTCATAAACTTTGTTCACCTTTGCTTCCACAGACATACTCCATTGCTTTCGTTAAATTACATGTGTGTATTTATTACAGCTTGCTAAAGGTTTAAGTCCATATCAGTTAAGTTGCTTTCAGGGCAAGTGGGGGTACCCTCTAATTTGATTGTTCCTTTAGTTTACAAAGCCTGTTTTAAAGCATTTGTACAATATTGTAATGTAAATCTGCAACCTCTGTTATAAGAGCAATCCCTTAATTATCCTAGTTCTTCTAGCTGAATTGACTAATTAAAATTATTTTTCTTTTGTCGGAATGTAACAATATTGCCCTCTATTCTTATTTTCATACACACCTAGCGCTGTGATGTGATCACACTGTCGTGGAATTCTTACCTTCAGGGGATTGTTACAAATGCAGAAGCAGAAGGCTTTCAGAAAAGCCTGTGTGTCTTAAAGACTGTAGTTGAACAGGTCCTGAAGATGGTACAAAGATCCAGTCCAAACCTTTTTGACTTTGATTCCATGTTATAATAGTTTTTATAGGGCATTTTTAATAGCTTTTATACTCCATTACTCATCATCTTAGAAGGTGTTACCTGATTATCTATAAAGTAGCAGTATTGAAGAGTATTACTTGAAGAGGACCATTGAAAGGTAAGGTTCCATTTTGGCTTTATTGTTTCTGACTTGCGCAGTTTTTTAAAAACAAAAATCACTCTCTGCCTCAGGTAAACTTCTCTAGAAAATTGGAGTGGACAGACTTTCCTGAATACAAAATGCTGCATGCTGAGTTGCTTTACACATCAAATGTATTTAACTAATTGTAATTGCCTGTTATGATTTATTTTTTTCTTTGTAGTTTGACTTCTCATTTGTAGATGTTTATCGGGTGAAGAGTTTTCAATTTACATCAAAGCTTTCAGAAGACAATGAAAGCAATGTCACCGATATAGGAAAGAAACGTTTTGGCCAGTTCTGCAGAGATCATCCAGTCTGTTGCTGTAATATTGCTAATAGCACCTGGAATTGTGATGGAGAAACTCTGGACAGTTCAGCAATTGAAGTAAGGTAAGCATTGATTTTTCTCTCCATATACCAGAAAACATTAAGCCTTTTCATTGACTTTTAAAGGTGACCATAAAGATATCCCAAAAAGGTGCCTCTGCATAGCACATTTGAGTCTTCTGATAATAAACTTACCTTTTTTGTTACTTTTTTGAGTCCTTTCCAGAGAACACTCCAACCATGTATATTATAAATGATCATTCTGACTGAGATAGATGGATGGCCCTACCTTTGAAGTCATAGTTACTTGTTGGGAACTTACACTGTGTGCTTGAAGTGCTGAAGGTGAAGGTGGTGTTGGGAGGATTCTTTTTAAATGAGTGGAGTACCTTATTGCTCTAAGCAATAACTTTTCCTGTTAAACTTCAGCTTAAGTAAGCATCTTTCCCTTAGAGAAATACTGAGTATGTCCCATACTGTGTGTTTTTTGACATGCAGCACAGAGTCTTATCTCCAGCCTTGACATATGGAAAAAAAAGTTTGCAGTTATGCAAATAATCAAATTAGAAGGGAATAGAGGTTTATGAAATTTGAAGAGCTTTTTTATTTTTTGTTGAGGACCTTTTTTTGTTGACTGTTTTGGTTTGTTCTTTTTAGAACAAAGGGAGCCGAAAACACAATACAAAATATTTACATGCAAGTGTGTTCCATTAAAACATAATCACTTAGCAGCCCAAAGTGATTTTTATAAATCTTGTATATTGTATAAGATCAGCTCATCTAAGTGCCCCATAGAACTTTTTGTGTGTAAAAGAGGAGTAACAAGGGTGATGCATACATGAAAGCATCCGACCCCCTTTGCAGGGGAAGATTGTATCGAGAATGGTTGAATGTATCAGAAAGAGTGGTTTCTGTAGTCTGGAGAAAGGAACTTTGTCCAACTGCTTGAAATTAATAGATTATTAGAGTTAAATATGTAGTACTCATTTATTTCCTATTAATTGATTTCCGTATTTTTCAGGGTTCACTGCCAGTTAATGAAACTATTTGCAAGGGGAATCGAGGAAAACTGTAAAGATGAAGCTGCCTACAGTCAGAGTAGCATTGAACAATTACTATAGATGTTGTTCCTCCAATGGGGAGAAGAAAAAATAAAAGCTCAAGGAAATTGAGTAAATATGCATTTTAGTCAAATTGACAAGTATTTTAAAATTTTAGATTTTTTTTTTTATGGCTTCAGTATAATTTTAGACATCTTATTGCATTGTGTCATTTTTTTAAGAAAAACATTGTAATCATTAAAATATATCTTGAAGCAATGTAATCTAAGTTATGTTAGAAAAGAGGATTGGTGTGTATATGTATGTATTCATGATGACTGATAAATTCTCTGTGCTTTTCTAGAGAGCGAATTTAGCAGTTGTGTTGCAATAATATCTAAATGTTATAAAACGTTGGACTTTCCATTGTCATCAAACCAAGATATCAAGACAAGATATTTTCAATATCTGAGAAGATGTTTTCTGCTGGGAGTGTAACGTAGTTGCATGTGGCTTAAATGCTGGACAACAATGTTCTCATTCACTTTTTTGTGAAATCTTTAATTTTGTAATTCTGACTATACCTTGCAACTTATCAATGCAATTCAAACACACATTCCTGGCTTTAAGTAAAAACAATAAGAGTTTAGAAATACTTTGAAAAATAAAAGCACATCTGTATGCAGATCGTACCTTATCCTATATATTCTGTTTATAAAGGCTTCCATGAATTATGCTTTTTGGGATTATAAAGGTTTTTATGATTGTTTGAGTGACACCAAATACCACACACTGCAACTGAAATGTCTTGCAAGCAACTTGCAGGGATACTTACATAATACCAGGAAGGCACAGGCAAAGGAAAATATAACTATCTTCTGAAACACCAGCAAGTTTTAATTTTTCTAAAATATCTAAAATTAATGTATGAAAAGTTTTCCTCTTCAGTACACAATTCTTTGGAGATTCTACTACGTATGTTAAAATGTCTTTGCAAAACAAGATGTTGGAATGTTAAGTTTAAAAATATGATTTGATGATTGAAAGTTTTTAATGTTCATTTAACTGAATAGGAAACAAAATAATTTGGTTTGTGAAGTCAAGGGAAGAAACTGGTGTCTGATAAATCACAAATTCACTGTGCTGAGTTGTTTTTATGGCAAAACACATTAGACTATCATATATAGCTATGGAATGATTATTTAAGTTGTCTATGGATTTCTGTATTGTGGCACATACGTGTTCTGTGTGTAGGCTTGGGGCTAAATTTTGCAGCTCTTGTACAGATTTATTCCTGTTTGAGGATCAGAAGTTAGCCCCTGCTCCCTTCTATCTTTTTGTAAGTGTGTAGTTCTCTTTAAAACTTACTGCGTCTGAGGGTTTTGTGGGTTTTTTTTTTGGTGTCTGAGCAGCTAATGATTCTCTATTCATGTATATTTATTGGCAGTTCTGTCATTCAGCTTGTATTAGTTTCATGTCTCCCATGTATTTGGTCTGTGTAACCCGTGGTGATTGGTCATTTTGTTACTGAAGCACTTGAAAATTGTTATAAATGACAGATTTCTTTTTTCTGTTGAGTTTATTTACATTCCAGTTTTGTGTAATATCAAAATGGTGTGTTATATCTTTGCTACAAAGTGTTATTCATACTGCTGTGTATGACAAAAAGCACTTGCAAATGATACTTGCTTAAAGTATAGCCACACAAAGTTTAGGATCTGTTTTTTGTTATATAGTATTTCAGAGAAATACTTGAATACTTTTCCAAAAGTACTGCTGTTTACTTTCCTTGTTAATGCAATGAGTTGAAATGTTGATTGAACCAATGTTTTTCAGACACTTGTAACACAAGTGTTATGTATACTGTATTTTTAAAGCCATGTTTAATAAGTGAAGTAGTACTTTTGAACTAAGAACCCCATTGAAAATGAGATTATGCAGTTCTACAAATGCAATTTTTTTGAAGTTATCATTTGTTTAAAAAGTTCTACAGTTATTGTGCTCTACCCATTAATATTGTGAGAGAACCCAGACTTCCTGCACAAGAATTACAGTAACTTGGATATGATTACCGACAGATGAGGGCATTTATGGGGCATTACAACTATCCAGATCACGTTCTCGTAACTGAGAACAGGAGTAAATACTAACCAGCTCTTTCTGTTAGTTTACTAGCAACTCATGAGACCCTTCCTTGAAAAATGGAGGCTTAATCTCATTGTGAATGTATATTGAAATGCTTTGAATATTTTTTTAATATCGGAATTGTGTTGTGTTTTGGTGTTTTCAAAGAAAGCCACAGTGAAGACCCCCGTTCTGAGAAAAAAGCCACTTGAAAAGGAGGAGAAAAGATCATTCTGTAGTATGGTAATGAAGTGTGAAGTAAATAATGAAGGTGTTGCAACATAATAAAATTAAATAGTCTTAGGTAGTAGAAAAGCTGCATAGTTGCATTTGAATAATTCTATTTGTAGCATATTATACTAGCAAAGCACCATATGTGAGTTGTATGACATGTCCAGTTTATTTTTAAGAAAAGAGCTGCATAAGTAATGTCTACTTAAATTTTAATTCTAGGGTTTGTTTTTTTTCTCTGAATGGAGTTTCAATATGGAAATTCTCTATAGGAAAATGAAGTTTGATTTTTTTTTTTCTTTTTTTTCCCAATCTTGCTGGCTTCAAGATTAGAAAATATGTTCTGTTTTATGATGCTAGGGCATTGCATTGAAAAAATAAAATTCTGTTGTACAGCAATACAGTGGCTTTCTTCTTTTCACAACGTGGTATCTACTTTTGTTCAGCAGAAATCTGGCAGTAGTGTGTGCCGTGTAACCAGCGTGGGCAGATTAAACCAGGTGGAGAAGTAATTCGTAAGATTCTGTTTGGGTTGACCACAGCTTTGTAGCAAGTGTGAGAGTAGACAAACACCGAGAGTGAAGGAAAGCGACTAGTGAAGCTGTACTTACACTAAAACCAAGCAATTCTACCAACGTAAACTAAAGATAGAAGGGGGAGAAGAAACTTAGTTATAATGCAAGTATTTAGAGTTATTTATTATGGAAAAATCTAAACTACAAAAAGTGAAAGAAAACTACCATTCTTAGAAGCATGAAATATGTGTTATAGTGTAACAAGTATATAGTAAATAGATGGGGTGGTTTAGAATTTCATTGCAATAATTACTACAGATGTAGTACATATTCTGATAAGTAAAACGTTGTAGATGAACAGTGGGCACAGAAGGAGAAGATACTTTTCAGCACTGTAGAGACTTCTGCTTTTGAAGTGTATTGGGTGTACGTGACAAGGTTTTAGTAGCTGGGGGGTTTTTGTGAGAAGACACCAGAAGCTGCCCCCATGTTGGACAGTCAGTTCCAGCCAGCTCCAAGACTGACCAGTTGCTGACCAAAGCTGAGATGATTGGCAATGTTGGTAGCACTTCTCTGACAGCATATTTAAGAAAAGGTAAAAAATACTGCACAGCAGCTGTTAAAAGAATGAGGGAAAGTTAAAGAAACAACTCAAACAACTCTGCAGACCGCCAGGTCGGTGCAGAAGGAAGAGAGGAGCAGAGATTCCTGGCCAGCCTGTGGTGAGACCGACTGTCCCCCGGCAGCCCATGAAGGACCTCACGCTGGAGTGGGTGGATGTGCTGTGAAGGAAGCTGTAGCCAGTGGAGAGCCCATGCTGGAGCAAGTTTCGTGGCAGAAGCTGCAGATATGGAGAGGAACACATGCATGAGGAGGTTTTCTGGCAGGACTGTGGCCAATGGGGGACCCAAGTGGGAGAAGTTCATGAAGGAGGAAGGAGTGGGAGAGGTGAAGCATTATGAACTGACCACAAACCCCATTTCCCACCCCCCTGCACCACTCAAAGTGTGTGGGGAGGAGGTGGAAGAGTCAGGAGCGAAGTTGGGCCTGGGAAGAAGGCAGGGAGGGAGAAGGGGAAGGGGGAGAAGGTGGTTTTAGTTCTGTTTTTATTTCTGACTATCTTACTCTGTTATTAACTGACAAGAAATTAAATTAATCTTCCCCAAGTCAAGTCTGTTTTTACCCTGGCTGCAATTGCTGGGTGATCGCTCTGTCCTTATTTCAACCCATGAGCTTTTCGTCGTACTTTTTTCACCCTGTCCTGATGAGGAGGGAGAGGGACAGAGCAGCTGGGTGGGCACCTGACTGGTAGCCAAGGTCAACCCACCACATGCAGTTATGCAACAAGGCAACATTTGCAAGGATATCTTATGGCCTGAATGGGAAGACAATATATAGAATCAGAAATTTATCCAAACATTTCTGTCTTGCAATTCAAGTATTATTTCCCTAGAACTCCGGCCTTAATCCCTATGAAGTAAATGAGTAATAGGAATTCATCATTTTTATTCTTGTTAGTCACATTGCTCTTATTTCAAGTTTTCAACAGGAGAATTAAGTAAATTTAATAGATTCTAACTGGTATTTAGGTTGCAGTAAATGAATTCTGTCCATAATGAAGCAACAGTCTCCCCAGACTTCTGTTTTGCCCACTGACATGCATGATGTACATCTTGCAAAGGCTCTTGCATGTTCTTAATTAACGTGTGACTAGTCCCGTTAATTAGAAGGGAGTGGGGCATTTGTTCTGCAATCAGTCATGCCTTTCAAATCCTCTGCAATGAGAGGATTAACAATTTTTTTTTTTATTCCATTTACTACTGTTTAGAAATGGTTCCTAATATGGACCTACCAAAATTGCCAACAAGAGATTGTCTTCAAAAGATGTTTGATCCTTTAAGGCTCTTACATGTCTGAAATTACTGTTTAATTTAATCTGCCAAATATTTATCTTTTATGTTGATATTTAGCAGCTGTATTTTGGGAAAGGGAAGACGGGGCAGCAGGAAGAAATGCTAGGTTAGTACTTCAGTGTTGCTGAGGTTAAGGTGGTGGGATAGCAACTCACACCAGCTAAGGGTCTGCCCCATAGACCTTGTAAAGTCAGGGAAAGTTCCCACAGAAAATAATTGCCTACAGAAATGCCTATACCGTTCCTGGTAAGTGTTTGTGTAACGGATTCTGAGTTTTCAGTGATGTACATTCTGCAAGGCAGTTTAGCTGTCGGAACAGATTCCTTAAAGATTTTTAGAGTTAGAAAACGTTGGTTACTCACTTAACTGAATCTCCCTTGCTGTATTTAAGTGTGCTTGCTCTGTCCTGGGTGGGCACAGAGAACGGCCTGTTGCCTTTGGGGCAATTCCTTACCTATGCTATTGTGTCTTCTGTTCTTTGCCTAAACAGTATTAATATTCAGACAGAGAAGGAAAAAAAACCCCAATATTCAAGCACATATTGATATCAAGAAAAACTGCTTGAAACTGATTTCTGTTTACCACTAAAGAAGGGATTCAATAGAAAGAGAGCTGGTATTGACCGGGTTGATCTGAAAAAGAAATGAGTATCTGCATAAAGTCTTCCATCAAATCACACACTGTTAGTTCCTAGATGTCATGTTTTCACAGAATGCTGCCTAAAGCTTTGATGGATGCATTTAGAGTAGATATCTCCCCTCAGCAATACCTATCAGATAAATAACTGCTCTGAGGTTTGCACTG